ACATCTAAATTGAAATTCTTCTTTGAATTTCTTGCCTCTGCTAATACGCTGAGACAGCCCACCATATGCAATGTTAAGCAAAGTGTCAATATTCAAATAACGAGAAAACAAGCAGATTTACTGCATAAAACATGTAAATATTATTAACAGAAAGCACCATGTGATAGCTCATGTTTTGATGGTTTTCAATCACTTATCTTTTCTGCCTCTCCATCTCAGCTAAAACTAGTCTGGGCAACAGGTACTACAAGGATGTTCTGTTCCCAGGCAGAGCTGAGGAACATGTGTGGCTGCCCTGAGCACACTTAGCTTAGCTACCCACCTTTCATTTGTTTCAGCCTCACCAATCTGAGTTATTTTGAACACATTTTTGCCCACCTCTATGTCTACGCTTTGCACCTCCTTTAGCAATCATCCAACAAATGTCATTGTTACTTGCATAACATCAGAAAATCAAGAGGATCAGCAATTAATAATTATATCAAAGCAGCTATGCTTCAATTTTGGCAGAAGTTAAATGGAAAAGTTTATAACAGAAATTCAGAATTAGGAAAAAGGAAGAAATTGACAAAAATCCAACCATGAAAGAAGTACTGCTAAACAAGCTGTGTGTCTTAAAAAAAAAAACAAAAAACTTGTCAGTATAATCCGTGTGGGGTGTGTGTGTGTGTGTGTGTGTGAGAGAGAGAGAGAGAGAGAGAGAGAGAGAGAGAGTGTTTTTGGATGTGCAGTCTTTTAAGTGATACCCACAAATGATTTCTAAGTGCTACTGACTAATAAAACATTATCTTTGATATATCTCAAAAGAAATACACACTTATATCAAGAGTTTTAAAATGAGAGAGAAAACTGCATCTATTTTCTGTACCACTTGTTTCTTCTAACTTGTCAATGACTAAAAGAAAAACATATATGCTTATTAATCAAATCTTACTGATTAGTAACACAGTATTTTCACTAACATCTATAGAACAATTGTTCCCAATCAAAAATTTACAAAGCAATTTAAATTCCTAGTAATTAAATTTATTAGCTCTATAACAATACTTCATAAAAGTAGTATATGAAATTTGTATTCGAGAGCATATTGATCAAAGGTAAAACAGCAAGCATTGCTATTAAATCAGGGTTCTAAGAACAAACCAGAAAGTTCAAAAACATAAAAGCCTGCAATTGTTTCAAATACACCTAATAATTCTGCTGATTTGGAGCCATTAAAACTGATTACTTAATTAGGCAATCATTCTAGGCATCCAAACACTCACACAGACAAAAACAGGGGAACATTTGCATAGACTGCCTTCACCTTGAGAGCAAAATCCTGAAAAATGTTCCAGATATTCAAACTTTCAGAATATGCATCTATGCACAGACAAAATAAAATACTAAATTCTAAAACGTGACAACCTGGAAGTCAGTTTAAAAAAATAAAAAGAATTTACTGGTAATGAAATTATTTCTCTTTTCAGGATCCTTAGCATTTTAAAAACTATTGTAGACAATAATAATATGGATTGTTTCTATGGATTCTTGGAATACTACTTACTTCCCCCAACATACTCATGTATTATCTGAAACTAATTAATGAATTTCTACTTTTTTCTATGTTCATCAAAAGTAGCTGCCTACAAAATCATTTTCAAAGCTTCTTACTAACATTAGTAAAAACAATCAAAAATGATAGGCCACTTACAGAGAGAAAAGTAACCCTGGAAATTAAGCTTAAATATAACTGTAGGGAAAAAAATCTGTTTTCACTCAGAAGATATCAGCTACAATTTTAAGAATCTCACCCACTTGGTAAAGTCTAAAGAAAAAAAATTCTGCCTAAAAAAATGTTTCTTAAAATCATTCCATCCATAAACTACCCTTCGAAGAAACAAACAAACAAAAAAAAAAAGCAAGTGAACTCACATGTCCTGCTTCCAAACAGAAGTCTTACTCTCTTCCAAGAAAACAACAATGAGATTTTTATCACTGTGTTATGATTCTTTCATATCAGACATGATTAATTAGCAAGTATTACACTTCTTAAAACTCCCACCACTCTTCCCTGCTTATTTAAATAGACCTACATGAAATAGCAAGTAGCCACCAGTAACATAAAGCAAGTACACAAAAACTGTATTTCAAAGAAAGAATACTTCTATCTTCGCCTCCAAAAATGAGGAAGGCTTATTTAAATGTTTTACAACATTTTTGGGAAGGAAAAAAACAACTACTTTATCATTTTCTTAACAATACCTTGTAAATTTTGAATAATGCATTTGATGTAATCAGTTTTCATGAATACATGACATGTTTAATCTGATACTTCTCTTTTTAAGCTGAAATTCCAAAGGTCTTGGGAATCCATGTAGTTTATACTAACAGCCATCCACATGCACCGTTAATAAACAATAGTGACGATGTGTAAAAGCATATTTGGGGAAATACTTTTTACATGAAAAAATGTTTCTCTCCTAAGTTAAAGCTAAATTTTTCACAAATAAAACAGAGGTAGGAAAAAGTAATAAGGAAATAAAAGGGGAAGAGGACAAGAGAACTCTATAATTTAAAACTGACTTCCTATTCAAAATAATTTTCCTTTTGAACAATCTATTTCTAAAATGTACAGATCAACCAAAAAGCCAATCTTAACTGAGTGTATTATAAATGTGTACTTCTATATCATCAATTTATAAAGCCTAGGATTTCCCCTTCAACCTTTCGAATGCGATGGCTAGAAAAGTTCACATATAGTACACTAATAAATAGATCTTGTTGGTTCCAGAAAATATTTTTTTGAAAAAAATCTATACTGGTCAAAAAATCTTTTCTTTTCTTTTCTTTTTTTTTTTTCCTGTTGTATTAAATTTAGGATCAAAAACATCAAAGCAGTTTCCACCTCAGACCTAACTTTTAGAGGATCAATGTGACAAGGCAGTCCCTGATAGATGTTTCTCTTGATAAACGACTTGTTCAAAAGAGACATTGTAGCTTTCATTTCCTGACCACAACACACTTTTAATTTGCAACAGCAGAGCTGCTGGGGTGTAAGCACTTGCCCACTTTCTAGCCTTTCAGATTTGCAGCTCTGGTTCCTTTAGGCCACACATTTGAGACAAACAAAATCTAAAAATAATCACAGAGTGATAGAATTAGAAAATAGGAGCCACTAATACCACTTTACAATTATACAGAAGTGTCTACACACACACACACACACACACACACACACACGCCCCAAATTCTAGCTTATGTCAACAAAACTCCTTATGAACATCATTTGCACATCCGGTATTTAAGCACACAGAGAAATAAATTATGTGACTATTAATAGTACACAGAGACTTGAGCGGAGCAATTTACACACTTAGCTGCTGTTAAACGTTATGAATTATATGAATGCCTTGGGAGAGTGCTTTTTACATATTACCGCAATTATTATTATTACTCCTACTCCGAAATCACATCTAAGTATCAATACGGTGAACAGTCAAACCATCCAATTTCTGCTCTCAGCACATTGTCCAAGCTCCGATTTAAAATTTATAAATGTAATATCCTCCTCATCACAGGCAGCAGCCCAATCTGCTCTGAATATATATTACAGCTTTAACATCACAGAGGGAAATCGCCCATCTGGCAGTCCCATTCGCTCCAACAGCTCCGGGGGAGAAAAAGCTGTGCTCTCTCCTCCTTAAAACATTTCTCAGGGCAAATTATGTGCATCTAAAATAAACAGTCTTCTTATTGATCGTTTCAAAGTCAACAAGTTCCAAATGCAAAATTCAATCAAATCCTTCCTATGGTGTAAGAGCGGTGTGTGCTTAGTTAGCTCTGCAGTCACCAGAGTCCAACCAGAAGTGTATGGCACGCAACGGGTCCTGAAGTCCCTTTCCTCGTATTCACATCTGTGTTATGAGGGTGCAGTGACCACGGCCACACTACAGGCGCCTGGCAGCCTTGCCCTCCTGTAATTTCTTTCTTCCCTATTCTCTCTTTCCTTCTCTGTTTTCAGGAGAAATTTCTTGGTTGTGAGGTAAATGTAATGACAAAAGCAGTTTAAAGTACACATATTCTTTGGTGATGCAAAATACTTGAACATCTTTTTGTTGTTGTTGTTGCTCCCTCTTAGTCCTAATTGAATATCACAGAGTGTACACACAGCTCGGCCACAAGAGCTATTGAAAACCCGCTCCCACTCCATTGAACTGACCTTTATTTTTCTTTCTTTTTTCTTTTTTCTTTTTCTTTTTTTTGTAAAGAATGGAAAGAGTGATTTCAAATAAAGTCAATTTCAGTGGCTGATTATTTAATTCTGTCACAGGTTAAAAGTAAAAAGCGCTGACAGGCAGAGAAGTGAATGGCAAGAGGAAAAAACTGCCACTGTGCTTTATAAAACATGAAGGACTTTGAACAATCAAAACACATATTTTATTTTTATTTAAAAGATATGACTTGAATCCCCCCAAAAAAGCAAAACCACACAGAACTGATTACTCCACAAAGTATAATTATCAAGAGAACAGATAGTCAAATTGCATTAATAGGTTGAGAAAAAAGAAAACAATTTTCATCCAGTCTTGTGTGTGTACATATATATATATATATATATACTTTCATTAGTTAGAAATCTTTCCCCACACTCCCGCCCTCACCCCTCTCCTCCCAGCCCTACCCCCCAAAAAATCCCCACACTGAGTTTAACTAATTTACATACCATTTGACTTCAGTCGTTATATAGTGCATTACTAGTAACATGCAACTTCAGGATTACAGCTAGAACTGGTAAAAGTGGGCTCAAGTAATACATTAATCAAAACTGCAATATATACACACAAGTGATAGCAAATACAAAAAGGCATGGTGATAGATTAAAATTTTTTAAATATATCTGTAAAGTACTAGCGTATCATCGCATCTGCTTCCTGAGCAGTCCTCAATGGTTTTGCCATGCTATTTCATTTGTCTTTTCTATTTAGATGCAAAGGAAGTAAATTCCAAAACTGACATACCATAAACACTGGTGCTACTGATCATTTCTTGCTGGCAGCACAAAAAGCTGAATTGGATTTCTCACAAGCAGGAATTCCAAAGGTTGCTTTTCATTAAAGCCACTTTTCCTCTCAGCTATCAAATGTCACTGCCTTGAAACGTGGGCCCTTTCGTCAGGTATTCATTTAACCTACATGCATATAATTAAGGGGGAAAGCAACATCAACAAAAAGGGGATCTCAGATCACAAGAGAAGAAAGAAAGGGAAAAAAGCACATGACCAGAAATGCAAGTCCATGTCAATTTCACTCACTCCCATTGAAACTAACAAGAGCTCCGGGGAGGACGGTAATAGGATCAGTGGATTGTATATACCATTAAATTATACATCTTTCTCTCCCGTTCCTTGCCAACAATACGCCCACCACGCTGTACCCCCTCCTGGATGATGTGCTTACATTTTTTCTGCCACCGATCTCCTGACATTTTCCCCGTCCTCCCCCCGCCACGAGATTGTAATTTAACCTCAACTTTTTGTGTGTGTGCAAGATTCTTATTTACACTTCTTATTTACTTAGAAGTTAGTTCCCGAAGAAAGTCTAGCCCCACCCTATGGCTCCGCTTTCTTAATTCTTTTTTTCTTATTTTTGAAGTGAAAAAGATAGTAATAAGTGTGCCCAACATAGCAAAAAACGAGATTCTTGCAATCGCTAAGTCTTAATCCCGTACTATTGTTACAATGATTAAGCAGCAAAAATATGCATTATAATGTTTCAGGGCTACTTTCTACAGAGAAATTAGACAGCAGGTTGGCGTACAGAATAGAACGAATGGAAATTAAATTTCATGTTTACGGCACAACTCGGAGATCTCTTTTTATTCCAGGTCTTGGATCTATTTATATTCTTGAAATATAAAACAAAAACAATTTTAAACAGATGGTAGAAAACTACGAAGCTCCTCTTACCTGAACGCGCGGAGCGAGAACCCGATAGGTTAGCGTAGCATCGATCCGATGTGTTTGCTGATGAATGGAAGCCGGGGTTAAGTGAAGGTGCCTATGATTTGAAATCATTCCAAGTTTTTGAAGGGAAGACGGACTGCAGCCTCTGCCATGTTGGAATTTCAAACCCAAAACAGCTGCTTGGAAGAAGCCAGCATGCCAGAGGCTGAGCGCAGGCGCAGAGCGCCGCCGAGCCAAATTCAAATCACTTTCACACTAAGAGCCAAAGATCAGTTTTCAAAGGAGAGAGGGAGAAAGAGACCGAGGCTGCCGTGCGGGAGAGGAGACGCGAGGCAGTGGCGAGAGGCGGGCGGCGGCGCAGACGGGCGGCGGGCGCCCGGGAGGGAGAGGCGAGGCGCGGAGCCCGCGGCGCTGCAGGGGGAGCGGGAGGCGGGAGGCGAGCGGGAG